TATATATATACGTACGTTATAATATATCGATTACTATACAAAAAATAAAAAATAAAAAAACTCTTAGAATGATCACGTTAAAAAGTCATATTCATTTGATGCCCATATAACTTAAACGAGAATTCATTAATTTTATGAATTATTAATAAGAGTTGCATTTAATATGTTTCTCGGTGTAACAAATGTACTGCAGTATTTAAACATAAATCATGAATGGTAAAAACAAGAAATTGTTTTTTCTTTTTTTTATAATCTAATTTTTATCCTCTACAAAAATCACGAGAATATATAATTACAATTCTTAGAATTATTTAGAATAATAATCACGTTATTATTTTAATCACCTCAGAGTGATTTAATTTAATTGCAAGTTCTCTGGAACTTTCAAGGACGTTCGTTAATTTTTGATCTGAATTCCATCGGTTGATAAGAAATTTGAATTTTTCGAAGTGGCATTATCAACACTTCAAACATTCCTTTATATCATCCAACGAAGGACGTTAATCATCTTAAGTTAAAAATAAATTGAAAGAAAGTGAAGAGTACTTTTGAAATAATCTAAACATGGCCTAGATGGAGCTGACCTTATAAGAAAACTTTCTCCATATCATGATTCATTCAAGCATAGCTTCTTCCTTATGTCATAATCATAATCGTACCGACAACTCGATAAACATAATTATTTTTATCGTTATATCATTTTATCAAACATATCCACAAATTATTTAATTACATTTTATAAACGTACACACATATGTGTTCATTCAATCGAATGAACAAATTCTTACGCTGATAGTTTGACAATTTAAACAAAATTTCGCTAAAGAAACAAAAAATTAACTGATTATTAGAATCACTTAAGAATTTTATACACACCCTGTATAAATGTAAGTACGTGAGTTCCTTTCAAAATAATATTCCAAGTTCGTTCCGTTCCGCGAAACGACGATCCTTTCACATCGGAAACTGGAATTAAAAAAAGAAGGATAAAGAAGTTTGACTCTTGACCTCTTCATTGTATGTACCAACCCTACTCGTGACCTTGCATTCTTATAAATCATTATTTTCAAGTTCCCACGACAAGTGAAAAGGAAATTTATATATTTTCATTTTCCAATCTTTTTTTTTTTTTATTGCAATAAGAACGAGCTTTGATAAAATATAAATTAAATAAATAAATGTATCTCATTGTCAGATTTAAAACGAACAATGATAGACCATGATATCTCAAATTGACTATCCTAAAATGGCTGACTAGGTCTCGAATGGTTTTTTATTCTGATGACATCAACGCGATGATTCTGTTTCCTCTTCTCTCATAATCGACGCAACAATGTATCTACTTACTTAAATATGTATATATATGTATGTATGTATGTATGTATATAGATATACCTTCCTCGAAGAATCGTGAGAGTAATATTAAAACAAGCTAGTCGGTTTTCTTTTAATATTATTCGAAGATTATCCAAGTATAGAAATCGATATTGTCATCAATGATCGTCCAAATAATATTCAAACTTAATTATTTGTTTACATAATTATCATTCGTACGTGTATACAACATTACAAAATACTTAACACCCTAATTAACCGAAATA